AGATCAAAGTCAGAATTCTCAGATTAAAGTCAGAATTCTCAGATTAAAGTCAGAATTCTCAGATTAAAGTCAGAATTCTGAGATGAAAGTCAGAATTCTCAGATTAAAGTCAGAATTCTCAGATTAAAGTCAGAATTCTCAGATTAAAGTCAGAATTCTGAGATTAAAGTCAGAATTGTGAGATTAAAGTCAGAATTCTAACTTTTTCTCATGTTAAACTGAAAAAACATTTAAAAATCAGTTAACTTTTTTTTTTTTTTTTCAGTGGCCCTAATCCTCCTCCGTAGAAAGATGACAGCCTTGCCTTCCTGGGTTGCAGGTTCACATCATGGAAGACAGGAAACCCACACACATGGACCAGTACCTCTGTTTTGACTCACACCACCCACTGGAACACAAACTAGGCGTCATCAGAACCCTCCAGACACGAGCAGGAACCATTCCACCACCAACAGAGGAAGGAGGAGACAACAGGGACACATCAGGACATCCCTGAACAACTGTGGTTATCCCAGATGGGCTTTTCTAAAAACCAAGAAGAAAAGCTCTGCTGAGAGGGAAGAAAAGCGAAGGAACGTCGTCATTCTGTTGGTTGCTGGAGTCTGGAGGACTTTCAACCAGCGCCGGATCCCAGTGCACTTCAAACCCGGCAACCCCCTGAGACAAAAACTGCTTCCCCCCAAAGACAAGACACCCAGAAACCAGACCGACAGCCTGGTTTATGCCGTTCAGACCTTTACTAAACCGCTACACAGGAGCATGGCTCAACACGGGAGGACCAACTCCTCAGGATAGGACTCTAACCTGAAGGCTAAAGGACACTCGGTAGAGGACAACAACCTCCATATTCTGGCCAAGGAAGACAGATGGTTTGACAGAGGGGATAAGGAAGCCATCTTTGTTAACCTGGAAGAACCATCTCTCCACAGAGGAGCAATACCCAGACAATACACCTCTCACCTGCCCTCACCTGACTCACACTTCAATGAGGCATGTGACCGAAGGGTTAGCGTTAGGGTTAATCCGTCAGACCCCCTAACGACCCCCGCCCATAATTCTTTGTTCCACCTCCAGTACATTACCCTCTCTGCTCCCACCACTAGTTAGACCTGAAGGAGCCTCTTGGATGAGAGGAGAAACATCTTCTAGAAAATTTCACTACAACTAGCCTAAATTTAACCTTTAAAGCTCGACCCTGGCCTGTATGGAGGACCAACTCTGCCATATTTTCAAATAAATCCATAAATAAATAAATGCTCAATAAATAAATGAGCATACAATTAATTGCCCCCAAAATACAATAAACAAATAAATGTAGGTAGGAATTAAATTAAAGATACAATATTTTTGTCTGTTTTATTTTTCCTTCTTATTTTTTTACCCTATTAATTCCTTCAATGCTATTTATTTCTGCTTGTTGTTTTTATATTTCTGTCTGCATTTCTGCCTCATTATGCAAATGAGGAGGGGGCGTGGCTTAGAGGGTCACCTTCTGTCTAACCTTTTTAGAAAATGGATGGATGGATGGATATACATTTATGTCTCACTGTATCATTTAATTTCTACCTACATTTATCTGTTTATCATATTTTTTGGGGGGGTTAATTGTATGCTTATTTATTTATTGAGCAGTTATCTATTTCTGTATTAATTTTTAGATATGGCAGAGTTGGTCCTCCATAGACCTGGTTGACTAAGAATCTTCACAGATATGTCACCTTCCATAGTCAGTTACTGCTTCACCCACTACTCTATCAGCCCAAAAGTCTGTTAAACACCATTCACACATTGGGTAAAAGTATAAATAAATGCATAAATAAAACATTTTTATGCTAAAGAAATGTGGGGAAGTTAAAAAACAGTCCACTGTACTTTGTTTCCAAGTTTGAAGATTTCTTTTCCCATGCAGGAAGCTTCTTCAATTCAAAATGTCAGGAAGTTCCAGGTTTTACAGGTTTTATAGAGTTGACCAAAAGCAAAGACTTGTTTTGGCTTAGAAAACATAGAAAGTGAACCAATAGAACGGGTCCACCCCTTAAGAACGGGCTGTTGGTTCTTTATTAGCCCGTAATACCAGATACCTGTCTATGTCTCTGAAAGTGGGTTCGTTAGGGGGAATTGTTGGCCTGGCTAACAGTGCTGTTATCGTCCTTGGACAAAAGGTAAAGGTGATAAGAGAGGCACGATCTAAACTGGTAGACCAAGTTTTTTACGACATTATTAAGAAGATGGAAGCTTGAAGTCTGAGAAATTCATCCAAGTTGTAAAGTCTAGATTTTACAGCATTATTCTGAGCTACAGGAATAAGGAGTCCAACAAATCAGACCAAGTTCCACCAGTTCTGTCAAAAGGAATGGGCCAAAATTCTAGCAAACTGTTGTGAGAATCTTGTAACACTACATCACTAACTCAAATGGGTTACTTTAAAAGTTAAATTTTCTTCTTTTCGTTTTTTTAAAGAAGTTTTCAGTATTTTTTTCTGGTATTTTGCCAAACAAATGTTGGTTTCTTCCAAATGCAGTGCATGTAAAGATGCAGTTTGAGCAGTTTTTGACACATGCTTGCTCAGTGTAAAGACTCACTTTCTTTTCTCTGGCAGCCATCTGTCTTTTCCTCTTGACTTGGCTTCTTGCGATGCTTGCAAACTTTCTCGCCACGGTTCTGGGTCGGCTAATTGGGATGGAACGCCTCTCCGCTCCCTCCACTGGTGGGACGATCTCGATAGCCGTGATGCATTCGTCGCCCGCCTGCTTCGTTACGATCTTTATCTTGGACCACCTCGAAGATGCGTTGATCTTGGGGATGGCAGAGTTGGATGTCGTCGTGACAACTGGATTGGTTGCAGCGCCCTGTATTCAAAAGGGAGGAGTTTTAGTAGCAGATCTTCTCAATACGAGGTGTAAAAGATGAAGCCATACAAAGCTTGTAAATTGATAAAAACATCATATTATTAATTAAAACCGTTTATATCGAGTTCTTTACTCTCTTTCCATTCTAAAAGCTTAAGGTCAAGAGCAATAAAAACATTTCAAAAACATGTAAACACTCATTATATACAGTATATAAAGTTCATAAGACTGAAAAAGGCACCCTATGTTGAGTGATCTCAAAAATAAACATCCTATAAATTGAAATAGTTGAAAACAGGAGGCACATAAAAAGGTTGGAATGTGTGCTAATGTTGGAATGGTTGCTAACACAGTGGAACAAATCCCCACCTGTAAATAAAAAATAGAAATGTCTTAAAACGAGGTCCAGTCACCGACTATGCAATAAAAAAAAATATATATATATATTTTTTTTGTTATATACAGCAAGCATTTATCGCAGCAGTGTTTACATTGTCCTTTTCGAGCCTTAAAAATAATTTTTGCACCTGACGAGATCAGCAGCTATCATTGTTGTAGATCTGAAGGCACAGTGGCCAAAGGCAGATTATGAAGCCAAGCAACCAAAGAGCCAGAGGTCGCAGTGTTCTCTGTATATACAGAGTGCATACGAAATGAAATGTCGATGCATACAGCTTTTCAACAGTGAATGAACAGCTGAAATAAATATTTCTATTTATGAAGAGAAGCAGTGACCAAGAATATAAACAATGTAGAAGAAAAGGAAAACCAGTTTAAAGTCATGGGGCAAATGGCATTGATACAGTAGTAGCCGTTGGCTGGTCCTTGGTTGGTCCTTGGTTGGTCCTT